CCTGTGTAACATTTTGGCGCTGCATGTGAGGTCAATTTTGTTTCGATAGAAAAAAACACTCTGGAGGTTGCAACCAAACTTGTTCCACATCCTGATGAGATATATCTCATAAATTTTGTAGCGTGATCAGCTGGTTTTTCTCTTATGTGATGCATGTGTGGTGCAACGGTTCGGTTTTCGATCTTGACATTATTTCATCAATTCTGACAAAACAATCGTTCTTTTGTTTTTACGATCTACTGATTTGTGAAAGTTTTTTTAGATTTGAACCCGAATCGAGCTTCGTCAATAATAAAATTGAAAAGACATGCGCCAACCAAAGCAGCTCGCCATTTTAACTCAGGTAAACTTTCTTAGCTAACTGGTGCATTTTTGGTTGAATATGCAAGCTGCCATGGCGCCTCGAGAAGCATCGGTAATTGTAAATCGCTGTGTTTGTCTATTCGACCTTTAAACTTCAAAGGCTCGACAAATATTTTATCTACACTGTAAGTTCCATCTTTCGATAATCTGGATTGTTTTGAGGGAATTCTTTATACCAAATTGAGCAGACGGCCAAAGCTTAGAAGTAGTTTTTTTGAGAGTTTTGAGAAATGACTCTAACAGTCCTATTTGGTCAAAGATTCTGGCTACAGTAGAAATAATTTACTAGTGATATTGCTTTAATTAAAAATTGTTTTTGAGTTCAGGCTGAATCATGCAGCATCGTTCTTGGTATCCCACTTCACTTCCAAATAATTTTTTGGCTTCAGTTTGGGGATCATTGACAAAATCAAGAACAGCTGTAGAACTCGATATAAACTTTGTTATATTGAAATTTTCTTCATAGACAGAGGTTTTCAGAGTTCTTTGAATATTTTTGAGCTTCTAGTAGTTTGTCATGGGAACGAGCAGAGCGATCGACGCAGAATCTGCCATGAACCAAGTGCAGTAAGTTTGGCTTCTTGTTGCAGAAGTCTATTCCCCCTTGTTGTAAAAGAAAGATGGCTATCGAGGGCGAACATTTAGCTCCGAAAACAGTACGCGTATACTGATGTTCCTTAAATTCACGATTAGTCGGCCACAAGAATCGTAGTGTTCCTTGATTGTCGTCTTTTATGCCTATCTGCATAAAGATGCCTTCTTTTTTGCCAGAGACGGGAACCTCGTGCAATTGGTTTCTCTTAACCTCATCTGCAAACCAAACAAAATGTTTAAAAGAACCTCTCACTTCTATAAATAGAAATGGAGAAAAAGAATCCGAACTTTGATGCATCATTCGTTACGACTCAAACTTTACAAGGTTTTCAGAAGTTCATACCCAGGTGTTGCGGTAGTTACCACATTCCTAGTGGTGGCGGATAAAGAAATATCAAGGGTAGCACTAACTTTTTGGAGTATCAGTATATAATTATTTGCTATTTGGTATCACTGTATAATGATTTGCTGCTTAGGTGTTTGGTATCACTAGTTTGTAATTTCAAAGCTGGTTGATTAAAAGGCGAACTCGAACATGATGGATTTTTATTTAATAAACTCTAACTGCTTAGTCGTTTTGCTTGAAAATGGTTTCTTAACTACGTTAAAAGTTGAGCCGGGTTCCTCGAATTTTCAAAAGTTCTCTCTAACTTCTCTTAGAGAACCATCCTCGGGTTCCTTCAAGTCTATGAAATTGGTTAGATGATATCTGCAATGCTAACCTGTAGATTTTTGATGGAGTGGACAGGTTAGCGTCCATCCCAGCAAGTTGCGAACTCGAGACGGATTACCGACAGGAACTGTCAAAATTTCCTTTCCTGCGTTATGCCAGAAAACGTGGACGCCGAATAAAAGTTGTATTGGTTGTTGGAAGATTTTGAGAAATTCGACTTGTCGTAGATGATCAAACCTGAAGCATGCGCTGTTCGTTCTAGCATTAACTGTCGCAATAAAAGTGAGCGTTTCAACGGAGTAAACGGATTGTATAAAAAACGTAAGAGAAGAAGAGTTGAAAGGTTTAACGTGTATTTGAACAAGATATGACAAAACGGTGTCCTTTTGAAAGCACCACGATTGCCTAATTTGGAACATAGGAACATCTGCTGTAATTGTCAAGAATTGCACACCAATGAACCGTTTGGCTGTTGTTGGAAAAAGTCGGCTTATGTATCAAATGTCTTTGTTGAGACAAAAAAAATACGAACAGTCCTATTGGCTCGAGTGTGCGTATTTTATATAGGTCTTTCATAACCTTTGAAGAAACTATGAAGTATCAAATATTTTGGTAGTTTTGTTTTTAGCTATGGAACTTTGTCAAAAATACAAATTGATGTTTTGAAAAAGTTGAGAATACTATTTAGTTTTCATTCGTTCAAGTTGTTAATGCGTGTTACGCTAAATGCATTTCTCTTTTGTACACGTTTTCAACAAAATTTTGAAATGTTAATTTACATTGACTTAATCCTTATATGTTTAATGATCAACCTTGTTTTGTTGATGGGTCTTTAAAAAAAAAACTTTTATCAGTAGAATTTTTAGCCAAAAAATCTACCTTTGTACCCCTAGGGTTAACAATTAAGAAAGCAAAATACGATGAAAACTATTGAATGTGAATTAGTCCAGCTTATTGGACCGATGAAAACCTAGCACATTGAATTAAAATTGTAAGGCCAGAACTTGAAAAATGAAAAATTGATCTGGCTTGAACTGGTTGTTGCCTCTGAACAGCTGAGCTGGGAGACCTTTGAGACTGTCCTGATCAACTGGGTGGGACCTTCGAGACTGTCCTGAACAACTGGGTGGGACCTTCGAGACTGTCCTGAATAACTGGGTGGGACCTTCGAGACTGTCCTGAACAGCTGGGGGACCTTCGAGTAAGTTCCCTGAACAGCTGGGGAAACTTCGAGTAGGTCCCCTGAACAGCTGGGGGACCTTCGAGACTAACCTGAACAACTGGATGGGATCTTCGAGTACGTACCCTGAACAGCTGGGGGACCTTCGAGTAGGTCCCCTGAACAGCTGGGGAACCTTCGAGTAGGTTCTGAACAACTGGGTGGGACCTTCGAGTAGGGCCTGAACAACTGGGTGGGTCCTTCGAGTAGATTCTGAACAACTGGGTGGGACCTTCGAGTAGGTTCTGAACAGCTGAGCGGGACCTACGAGACTGTCCTGAACACCTGGGTGGTACTGTGGCGTAGAGGTCGTACTATAATTACGAATGTTATTATCTAAGGTCATATGACCATCGAGGTCAAAGTTATAGTGAATATCTTGTGTTCACACTGCCAGGATCTTGGCCTATGAGATTGAGTTTAAATTGATTCTTTAACGTACTGTTATTACGTTACTGTTTATGAAGTATTACATAGGCATTCTTTTACATGACGCAGCCAAATACGGATTCGGTCTACCGTGGGCTAGATAAAATCTGGGCCGACCCTTCACAGGAACCTCCGGCATCGTGGGAGGAATGGAGCCAGAGTTTTCATTTAATCGTTGTTGCTAAGGAAGAAATTGATTTTATGGACATTTTGCAAGACAGCGGTTTACCCGAGAATCCTTACCCAGTACCGGAGGAGGCAGTGGGGACTGAGGATTAGCAGGCACGAGCGGATCTTGAGGCACAGAATAGACATGGCGAGACCAAGATAAGCGGTTGAAATCAAAGTTGTTTTTGTCCCAGGGGAAACAGGGACGAATGTTTTCCAATCAAAAACACCCATATCGTAAAATCATTGACACGACGTTCATCAAATTGTGGAAGAGTTCGACGGATACGTTTCAGATAGAACCGAACGTGACGAAGTAGAGATTCGCGTTCTTTGGCCGTAAACAAAGGGACAATCAGAGCATGGAACAGTCCTTTGGGTCGTTGAGTGACCTTACCAGAGCGTAAGATTTCGTGGACCCGGAGGCATCGATCGTTCGAGACGTTTTTATTTATAATGTTAACAACGAGGAAGTGGAGAAACAACTATGCATGGAAACAATGAGCCCGGGGAAGGCACTTACTTTCGCGGTCGTTCGAGAAAGAGGTGAAATGATGTACAAGAGAGTCATTGAGGGAATCCCAAGATTTGGAATACAAAAATGTAACAGCCGGCCAAATAACGCAGACTCGAGTGTGGCGTACCCAGGGTGATGGTTTGATAAACGCGAACCAGTTAAGGGTGTAAATAATCAAGTCCTGGATAAATGTCATAACTGTGGAAATCTGTTGAAGCCGAATCATAGGGATCACTGTAAAGCAAGGAATATGATTTTTCATAACTGTAATTGTCGCGGGCGCTTTGCAAGGTTCTGTAAGAAATCGTCGGTTAACCAAGTCGAAAGTGCGTAAGAAAATACAATTTGAAACGAATGTAATCTATATTTTCTACACCTATAGTCTATACAAGACGGCGTTTTCTAACGTCCATTCATTTGGTACAGTTTATCTATCTTTTCTACTCATAATATATCTATCTCTGATACTTATTAGTTTACTATTAGCTTTTAACCCTACAGTTTTGAGTCAGTACTGGTCGGGTTATCTCACACCCGATAACCCAAAGGCTTTCCGTGGTACTGTTTTAAAACACGAATTTTTGGCAGACCGGTCCAAAATGTTTTCCACAGGCGCCTTGAGCACAATTTGATTTAAGGTTTAAATGGAATAGCGCTCAAAAAGACAGTTTTTTGGCCGTTTTTCTGGTATTTTGGGCCGTTTTTCTGGTATTTCGGGCCGTTTTTCCCCAAAACTTCGTCATTTTGGACTTTTTTTCAGAAATTTGTCTGCAGCGCAAAAGTTCCAATTAGTGTGTCGGTTAGGAGGGGTCGGAAAATTAGTTTGGGGAACTGAATTGATTTTTTTTTCAAAAAACTCCCTCCAAAAAATCTAACTTCCTCCTCTGCTCCAACTAAATAATATTAATCGCTTACTAGGCCTCATTTGTCACGTTTTTCGCATTTTTTTTTAAATCAATTTGTTATTGTACTTTTAGAGTTAGGCAACATTTAAATCGACTGGTATAAACTTCCTCTATGTCAGTTTGAAACAAAAACGAATGCTTACAATTTCCTGACAATTCTTCCACAAGTTTGATAATAGATATATTAAATTTCCAGCTATTTAAATTGAATCAAGAATCGGGTAGTCCAAAAAATCAACTCTGCCGTCTTTGCTTTTCATTTCAAACTCAACCAGGGTCAATATAAAAGTCGAGTTTCGAACCGCCTTCGGGAAAAACAATGTCTGCTGAGGTCCCATCGTCGGCCAATAGCGTCCCAGATTGAATTCGTTCACGAGTGCAACACCTCTGCCGAATGAAGTCGTGTTTAGAAATGAGTCATAGAGATCCATATCAACTTCCGCTTGATACACCAATGGTAGTGGGAAATCAGAACTTTCGGTTACTTTAGTAGTGTTTATGAAGTTGCTCCCAAAATTTTCTAACATCAAGTGAGCTGTTTCCCAGTTTTGAAGCATTCTAAACGAGCATAATAGATGGTCTTTTCTAAATTGCTGTGATTAAGGAAATTCTTTTATAAAAAAAAATGGGAGCTAATAATTATCGTATAAACTTTTTATGCGGACCGCTCAAATTGTATAATCTAATATATCTATTTTCTGTTATTTTTAATTTTTTTTTGAATAATTTTATTTATTCGACATGCTGCATGATGTTAATATAACAATATTCTATTGTAAGCTTACGAGCCTATCAGTGAATCATAATAACTCATTTTGATCCGATGTATTTTTCTTGCAAATTTTAGGATTTGGGGCTAGAAGTATTTTTTTAAATTCAATTGAAGATCAAAAAAACAAAACACAACAAACGCGCTTGCGAAATTTGGATAATTTGATTTGTTGGTAAAATCTCAACTTACTCGCCATTCAGTGTAACATTTCCTCTGATGCCCTTGTGCTGGTCATTCATGTGTGGACCCCAATTAACCCTTCCCCTGTTCTCGACTACAATCGCCAGAAAATCCCCACTTTCCAAACTAACTCCATCGACTGCCAACTTCGGATGAAGGTAGTGATTGTTGTCAACAGTTCCCAGAAACACAGCGCCTGTCGAGTCGTTTTTGGATTTGGTCACCAGAATCGAAGCTCGATCACCCAAACCGTTGATTGCGAAGGACAAGTCCAACCTTCCTTGATAAATTCCACTCAATTGAACCCGGTACATGACAAAGCCGTAATCAAATCCCAGGTCTTCCATATTTTTTGGGTACTTGGATTCGATAAAAGTGTTGTTTTTAGTGACAATGTCCAAAAAATCAACAAGCGATCCTTTCAGTGTTAGTTTAACATCAGCTAGCGATGTTTTCGTAGAGTTCGGAGGAGGATTTTCAGTTAGAGTTTGAAAATATTTCGCAATTGTGTCACGTATTACGTAATACTTCCAAGTCGTGTCTCCTGATTCACTAATCGGGGCATCATAATCGTAAGTTGTCAAGTCGTATGTGTTCGACGGACGCCCGAAGTTCGCGCCAGCCCAATAGGCGAAGTTGGTTCCGCCGGTGTACATATAAAAATTGACAGATGCATTTAGCGAAAGAACTTTGTCGAGTGACTCGGACAAATCGGCTGCCGAGACAAGTTGGAAGGGCTTTCCCCAATGGTTTAACCAACCTATGAAAAAAAATTATTGCACAACTAAGAAATGTAACTTAGTTTTAGCGCTGAAAACAGTCTTGATCCGCTTCGCTTACATTCGGCACCAGTGGTATATTACGCACGGAAGTCTTTGCCACAAAGGTAAATATCTTGATAATAGTACAAGTCTTTTCGAAATTAACTGAAAAAATAAAATGTGAGCTACCAAAACTATTAGAGACCATTAAAATGGTTGCCTATTATATACTATATGAAACCATTTTTTTGAAATTGATTTCTTTAGAAAATTTGAAAACTGAACTTAAAATACCGTATTCTACTTATCGGTGCTACTTCATGCAAATAAAATTTTTTAAATATTGCCTATATATTTCCTAACTTTTCAAAACAGCGCTTTACAAACCTGTATAGAACTCAGAATTGACTAAAGGAGCATTTGGTTGATATCTTCGGAGAACGTCGAAATAAAACTGCGGGTAACTCGTCACTTTAAAGTCAACAGTCGCCAACTCGCTTTTCACTGAGCCGCATTTCAAAGCTCGTCTTGTGTAAGCTCGGTCTGTCGTGAACAAAACCACGTCGGATCCTAGGTACTCTTTTATTTTGTCAACTAGATGTTGCAAATAGACTTGATCACAGCCGGGAAAGTAAGTTCCGTACTCGTTTTCATATTGAACTGTTATGACAGGACCGCCGTTTTTGTACAGAAAAGGTTCCAGTTTTGGCAAAATTTGACTCAACCAGTCGTCGACATAGGCGAGAAATTTCGGATCCGAAGATCGTAACGTGAAGTCGTCTGTTCGTTTCAGGTACCACGGGAACCCTCCAAACTCCCACTCGGCACATGCAAAAGGGAACCCTCTTGCAATCACCAGAAGTCCCGTATCATTGGCAAGTCTTAGGAACTTCTCAACGTCGCGATCTCCTTCGAAATCATATTGACCTTCAATTTGTGAGTGAAAGTTCCAGAGAAAGTACGTCTCAACAGCATTCAAACCTCCGGCTTTCATCTTCATCAAGCGGTCCTCCCAGTATTGGTTGGGAACTCTTGTGAAGTGGAAACTCCCGGAAACGTAACGAAAAGGTTGGCCATCTTTGAGAAACGTTTTATGCTCCCAATCCACAGAAAAAGATCTCGAACTCGAATAGACAGTATGCAGAAGCAACGATAGAGCAATGACCACTTTTGCAATCATTTTGTCAGCAAATGATCGTTCTATTACATTGCCTGGTTAAATCGTAACACATTGATTCTACGTTTACCTTTAAATAACACCATTTATGCCAACATATCACAACTTTCATCATATTTGGAACAAAGTAGATCCAGTTTTGTAACAGATAAGAAGCCAATTTGAAAATCATTGTTTCGATAATTTGTTTTTATATTTCAGCTATTCTGGCCTTAAAAATCATAAATATCCTAAAATTATTTTTAAGTTTTCTAATTTAGTGTATCTAGCCTACAATTTAGCAGACGAATTTGAACCAAAGTGAAGATTATTTTGCGCTATAGTCTGGAACAACAAAACGACCGGACTTCAAGCCAAAAGCACTTTGGGTCAAACTTAAAACTTTTCAACTGCTTCAAACACACTGTCTTTAGCAGTTTCAAGTGTATTTGTAAAACTTTATCAAACTTAGCGTAAATTAATCATTGTTTGACAATGCACCACTGAAAGATGACATCCACCTGGTTACACAAACCGGCTTTGAATTGCAGAGAGTGTAAACTAGAAGAGAATCTTCAAGGTTGTTTAGTTTTTCAACTCTAAAACGCACTGAACTAATGTTCAATTATTTTGAAAATCCATAAAAATTTATGAAAAATCATGATTTTAAGTCATTCTTCCAGAATTTTCAAAAGGCTCAAATTTCGTGACACAATGCAAAAAAAAACATCCATTTTGAAGTCCCCTATTGTCCCGACCATTGAAAATGGGGAGGAACTTTGAATTCGGTTGTGTTTTAAGTTGATTCTTCTTTTTTTGTTCCGACCATTGAATATGGAGAGGAACTATGTATTCTGGTATGTTGTAATTTTTTCTTTTTGTATTTTACGCAGAATCAGGTACCACAAATAATCATCGGATTGGGTTGAGTGATAAATCATATGGTTCATAACCCATTTCTGTCTTCTCATTTCTGTCTACTCATTTCTGTTCCTTTTTCTTAATTATCAATCACGAAATAAAAATAACTCTAAACTAGGTAAAATTAGAACATCTCATGAAAATAATTGTTTTTCAATTAAATTAGATTTCGTATTGATGTTCAGCAAAACAAAGTACAAAAAAATTTAGGAAACACTGCAAAAATGAAGCAAAAATAAAAAACAAGGAAGAGCTTTGAAGCATTTTTATATAATACATAAATAGCATGAAAAGCAAGCCGGTAGCAAATGAGAATTTAATTGAAAAAGTCAAAAAAATTGCTGATAGAAAATAAATGCCTCGCGTTGTTTTGAATACAGTTACATTAAAAAAATTCCAACTAAGATATTTGCTGGTGGACATTAGACACAAGCTAAAACTATATCTGTAGGTTAAAAATTGACAGGAGAACAAAATCTTTAAAAAATGAGATTTTCTTCAACAAAATGCGTGCTTAAAAAAATAACAACCGTGAAATTAATTAGAAACATAGCGAACCGTCACTTGTAAAAGGGTCAAGAAACGCAAGGAAATCGAAAAAACATTTTTTTAAAAATTCCATCTTCCGTATTTCAAAGTATCAAATAACTGGCCTGAAAATTATTGGAGTTTTGAGAACAATTTAAGAATAACACATTTTGGCAAAATTAATTTTTATGCAGAAAATTGAAGCAACAGGTAAGATTTATATTCCGCTGGGAAATCTAAATATTAGAATTCAATTTTGAAACTTAAAGTTGATCACGTTTTTTTTTCTATCTTAACAATACTACTGTTTGATAGAGCAGTTTGCCTTACTTGTAGCCAAGTAAAAGAACTGAAAAAAAAATTAAAAATCAAACCGCGAAAAGATTTTTGTGCCTTGACAAGTTTCAAGACTGTTTACTGGGAAACATCATCACGAATTGCTAAAGAATCTTCACTAAGTTCATTGACTCCTAATAACACAAAAACCGGAGTGAAATAAATTGGCTTCTCAAAAGTAAATTGATGGTTCAGAGTAGAGTTGGTGATTCAAGCTAATTAGATTGCCACTAAGACTTAAAACCAAAAGCCTAATTAGGGAGGACTCCCGCACTCAAAAACTCAACCCCCTCAACACCCACAGGTGAGAGTAATACCCTGCTGATCTAGAAAATTATCTCAAGGCGTATCAAACGCCAGTTTATACTAATTTTGAGGTAAAGCGGGCGCCAGAAAAGCATTCTTTTTGTCAAAACCATTCAATAAGTACCCAGAACAGCCTTTTTTGGCCAGTCTTTTGAAGAATTTGCATGCTGCGAAGAAAAGCTGGTCAACATAGGGTCTTTATTGAGCTAGGACAATCAATCTGGGTGACTTATAAAAAGGTCATCAAACTTTTCAAATAAACCGCTCCCAACTTAGAATAAACTTACATCCACACCTGCTGAAATCAGAGAAAATCACATCAATGTATCCCCACTCTAAAAAACTTCATTACACTTTTTTCGAACTCGAATCACATTGAATAATCTTATAATATGATATCAAACTTCACCTACTATGGCATATCTAAGGTCGGTGAGGAAAACAGCAACTTACGCCATAATTACTTCCAGTCACTTTTCTCGATGATTTGTCTCCGATTTTTGTCAAGTTCTGGGAGTTGAAAAATTGCCAATTTGGCCATCCTCTGGACTAATTTAAGAGTCTTTGAAGTTTTTATTCATAATTCAGAAAACGTAACGCAAATTATTTCTGCGGGGCAAATATGCTGCAAAGCAAAATCGGTCCACGTTTAATTGAGGCTAGCTAATCGGTCGTAGTAATTTTGTACAACTCAAATTTTCACACTTGATCTTCGATATTGTCCAAAACAGTTTTTCAATATTTGCTTTTCCCAAAAATTATTTGTTATGGATTAAGGACAGTTGGAACACTCAGGTTTTTGCCTGATATACGAGCAGTCTTATTGTTTATGCGTTGCAAATCATCCCGCACTAAAAAATCGATCCAAATTGAGCTGATGCCAGCTATTTAGTCATTTTAATTTAGCTCGACGCAAATTTTCACTCTAGATGTTTGATAACGTCCAACATTTATGGTTTTTCATATTTTTCTTTACCAAAAACATTCGATCCCAATTCTGGCAGGCGGAACACTCAGGGCTTTGCCCTCATATACGAGTCTTAATAAAAGTTATGCGGGTGTTTAAAATAGAACTTGGAGATAATTAACGGCTATAATTTGTTAAATTAGCAATCCGCCTCAGAAATAAATCTTAATTGGGGGTGGCGTCCCTTATGATGGAAGGATCGAATAGTCGAAAATAATTTCAAGTTATTTTCAGCCAATCAGAATTGAGTAATCGAAATCAAAAATGTCACAGAAATCGAGAAAATTTTGAAAAAATCCATGCCATTAAAAAAATTTTACCGATAAAAGCAGATACATGAATTTTGAAATTTAAATCGGGTATTGGAAGAAACCTCAAATCGATTTTTGAAAAAAATTCAAAACAAAAAATTGTTTATTCGCACAAATTGCACCGCAAAACTTTGCTGTGCCAATATGTTTTATTTTCTGTTAATCCAGACTTCGGTTATCTGCAAAAGTAACTTGGCCAATCGGAACGTCCAAATATTCTGATTGGTTGAAATTTTTTCGTCATGAGAAATCATGAAACTGGACTGAGCATTACACAATTTCACGTTTTTCATAGCTTCAATGCAGTAGGAACAGTCTTTGCTACAGTTTATTCACTTTTTGTTGTAGATAACCGTTTCAATAAGTCTAGTTACTTGATTAAACTGACAAATCTTTATCTAGATAAACTTTCTTTCCATGAAATTTATCATTACAGAGAAGATTTAAACTATTTTGGGACTCCAAATGAAACGGAAGGTCTGGTATATTCGACATAACACTATTACTATCGCGTCAGTTCAAACAGACTTCAACTTTTTTCGAGGATCATTTTTTGAGCTTGAGGAAACAATGAAACGCAACATTTTAATTCATATGTACGGAGTTTCATTTATCAATTCGACATTCTCCCAATGTAAATTTGATGTTCGAAATAAATTACAACAGAAATTAGATTCGCAGAATCAAGAAACACGGTTAACAGATAAGTAAGTGTTATAAAGTGCTTGTTAATAACGCTAAAAGTTATGCGCTGAAAAAGTCTTAACAAATTTCGAGACACTGATCTCATTTCAAAGACGTTTAGAAAAAAATAATCAATATAAAAAGACGCGAAGCTAGATAGTTTCTACTGTTGACACAAGTTTTAAGGGTAGAAAAAGCAGCGCCAGAAGAAATTGACCTCGTTTTTATACAAGCACTTTACTGACAAAATCTGATCTGTTCAAAATCACTGGTTAGTTAAAACTAGCATCAAAGAGAGAAAAAAAGAGATATCAAGAAAGAGATTGTTAAGTTTTGAAAAGTTTGCATAAATACAGCATCCGTGTAACTTAATTCCGTGTAACTTAAGTTGTGCGCAATTTTGATTTATCGATCTACTTCATAAGGTCAGCCAAAGTTTTTTCACCATCTGGAGATCTGAGTTTGAAAGAAACTTTCCAAGGGGTCTCGCTTGCGTCATGAACAACAGCTGTTATATCTTCCGTTTCTGGTTCACAAACATACTTTTTGATGACTTTATCTACGCTGTCGTGACTATATCCACCATCTTTGTTTTTCACAATTTCATCGACATCCGTCAACACACACGGAACCGCTAATTTATGAAACTCATGGAACTCTGGAACCAAAACACGCAAGGCATTCAATTTCACGTTGTCTACAAATCCGTAATCTATCATGATAACTTTGAATTCATCATCATCATCATTCGAAGGTAACTCCACGATTTCTGCTCGGTACCAGGCTTCATCAAGGGCAGATTTGCAGGCAACTATCGCTCCAGGAAGAGCCATGTCGCAGCTGATTGAAATCTGACTGGAGTCAAGCTCTACAGTTCCGTATTTCGCTGCTAGGTCTGCCTGAATAGCGTCAATTTGATCATAATCAGCTTTCAATTGAACATAGACACGATCCGAGGCATACATGGAAACTCCACCAACCATTTCAGAATTTTCTTCTAGTTTCGATATTTCGCTTTTCAGTTCAAAAATAGGCTCGTGGAAACTTTTAGCGAAGCGTTCAAGTGACATTTCCTGGCCCTTGACTGATATGTCTGCAATTTTAAACGGTTCTACGAAATCTTCTGTGGCTAATTTGACCATAATTTTAGGAACACCATTTTCATCACTGATAAACTCGAAGAACTCATCTTCAATATCGCTGTCCAAATACTTAATTTCGTTTTTCAACTTGAAGCTTAACTTGGGTTGACTTTTCACCAACTCTTGAAGAGCAGATCCTTCGGTTATTTGGAAACATTTTGACTTGTCCAGCAAGTTAAACACTCCGTAATCAACAAGATATACATTCACCAATTGCGATTCATCAATGATGCGCTCAATTTGCGCTCTGTAATATTGGGCAGTATCATTTTCCATAACTATACAATCTTTGCCCGCCTTCGGTCTTCTAAGTTCCTTCATTAAACAATCCGATACAATTTTCTCGGCAATCAACTTGTTTATACTTTCTAGAAGCTCATCTGCTTTGCCTTTATTTTCAGTTGTCGAAACATAAATAGTTTTTAGGTCCATGTTTGAAACCTCTACTTCTATAGATTCTGCATTTGCCTTCGTTAAAGTTTCCAAATCTGTTTTGTAAAGTTTGAATTGATCGGATGACTTTTCACTGTCTTTGAAAGAAGCGAATCCCCTTTCATTGACAGCAATATCGCATACACTTTTGTTTTCTGCCAGCAAAATATCGGCGACCGCCACCCGAGATTTCTGATCAAACATAGCTACTTTCACCGTCACAATTGCATCTTCTACTGATTCCAAAATTGCCGCCATTTTCTTTGTGTCTTCGGGTTCAATCCAATCTTCGTCAGGCTCGTCTGGAACTATTGATGCCAGTTCAACAATAACACATTGTGGAGGTAAAACAGATACGAATTCTGCCAGAAGCGGCATTACTGAAGATTTCGAAACAGTTTCCTTTGTTCCCCAATCGATCAGAAACACTTCAATGTTCTCGCTTTCTTGGTCCTCGGAGCTATTCAATTTTGCAACTGTCGCTCTGTGCCACAATTTGTCAAAATCAGAAAACACAGCACACATACCATCGCATTTTAACTCATCATCCTCAAACTTCAGCGAATCCTTTAGTTGAGCAACTTTGTAATATTCTGTCATGTCCAGTTCGAGTTGAATTAAAACCTCGTTTGTTGATTCGATCTGAAGCAAAATACGAGTTGGGCTTTCAACTTGCACATAAACGCAGGAAACATTCGACCCTTCAGATACATTCTCACACTTTTCCGTCAAATCGGCCAAAGTGTCTTTCGAAATATCAGCGCGTGATGCCAGTTTCTTTTCAATCAACAACATCGAAAGGTCGACGCCTTGGTCCATTTCTAATAAAACTTTGGGAAGTTTTGATTCTTCTAAACTTCCTAATGATGACATTGAATAAAGCAGGACCTCGCCTGATGCAGGTACGATTGCGTTGACTAGCGATGTAAACTCCTCAGGCGAGAACTTTCTTCCTGAAACATCCATAGAGCCGTCTTCGTTTGCATGGCTACTAGAGCTGACGCCGAAAAGACCAACTTCAATAGCGAAAGCTTTTTCGCCGCAAAATTCCGATTTTAGCTTCTTGAGAGATGCTTTTTGAACATTGAAAAACAATCCAGTGTCGACGTCTTTCACTTGACATTCGTCGCCATTTTCGCATTTCATTGAAATAATTTGCCCTCGTTTCCATTTGGTTTTTGAAAGCATAGAAACTTGGAAAGCACAGAAGCTCTGCGATTCTATATCTGTAAGCATAAATCTTCCGGGTTTCAAGTCGTTGTAAAATTTATTCAGTTGATCTAACATTGAGTTCATTTTACTCCACGCTGAAGATTTTTGAACGCACAAACTTTCTGGACTTTCAGCATGAGATATAATACACCTGGTCTTTAAGCTGTCGCAGACGGATTCTTCAAGAGATCTCGGTTCTATTTTTAGCGGCACAGAATCTGCGATTACCAGGTCTTTCAGAGGTTTCTCTCTAAAAGTCAGGGTTCCAATAACTACAGGGTAGTACCCTTCTTCGTCTATTGAAGTGACATGCACAGTTACTTCCTCCTCTTGGTTGAAAACAATTATTCTTTGCAACTCTTCTAAAGTGTCAATATTCAGAGAATCCAGATCTAAATATTCAGTAGCCATTGACAACGCAAAGCATGGTTTTTTGTATAAATACTCTGGAAGTTGCTTCACATCATCTATATTTTCAATAACTTCTCGATGTCCATAATCGATCGCTCGCACTTCGGCACCTAATATTCCGTCTTCTTTCTCCGAAACAGTCAAAATCTCAACTCGGATCCAGCTTCCAATTAATTCAGACTTTGCTAGTCCAATTTTACCCGCTTTCGGTCTTCGTAGTTTCCTGCAAGCCCCGCTGTTCTTTGTAATTGTAGCGTTCATCTCATTGAGCTGTTCATCATTGCTATCAAGTTGAAGCCAAACGAAATTTTTATCCAATCTTTGCTCATCTTTTAATATACTTTCCGCGACTTTGCACTTTTTCCAACTTCCAATATCGATCACTTTTCCATTTTCATCCTGCTCGAAATTCCAAAAATAATTCACTGGCTCTATTGCCGACACCCATACAACTAATTCTGAATTATCTTCCAAAGTAAATTTGGACCGGGCTACTTTTTTGATTTCGGATTCAGGACTTCCAGGAGCGCGTGCGACTTGTTCATTTCCCAGTTGAACGGCCAAATTCTCGCCGTCAACAGTAACATCTACTACATTAGCCTCAGATTGAGATATAAAATCATTTTTGAGCGTTATCGAAATTTCAGATGCGTTTCCGAGAGTTTCAGCCAAGATTTCATTGTCGTCATTCACCCATTGGGTACCTTCAAAGGGAATGATGTCGTCGACCGCACAACTTAGAGCCTGCACAGGAAGTTCACAGAACTCCTTCGGAATTTTGCGCAAATTGGCAACTTTTACTTGGCAAGAATTTCCCCAGTCTACGAACTTAACAGTTGCCAGCTCCGTGGCTTCGGCTACAGAAAGAACTATAGCTCGGTACCATTGATTGTCTTCAGGGTCCGGCGACTGAGCCAAACATGTCTTAATTGATTTCAACTCACCGTCTTCCAATTCTGGTAAGAAATCCAAAGAAGCTCTCAAGTCTTCTTCCAAAATCAGTAACTTATCGTTGGATTCAACTAGCTGAAAGATTATTTCAACTGGACTTTCACTGAGAATAAATGTCACTGGAACCTTGGCTCCATGCGTAAACTCAAGCTCCGGGTACTTTTCACAGCTTTCGGGCATCTGGACGATATCCTCGCCAATTAAAGCTTCTGTCAAAGTTTTTTCCTTCGTTTCGTCTAAGTAGATATCTATAGCTTGGGGTTCTGAAATTCTACTTAAAACTGAAATCGTGAGTGGAATTTTATCGAAAGCTTTGATCAGATCCAAAACTCTTGACTTCATTTTGTCAGCTCCGGCCGAGGTATTTTCAACTTGGAACAGTTTGCACTCAGTCACAAAGGTGGGTTCTTTCGTCGCAAAGTCCTTGTTTAGCTTCCGACACCGTTCAATTTTACAGTTACTCAAACATGCACCGGTATCTAGGAGTCGCAAATTGCACGTTCTATCTTCTTTCGAAACAGTTTCAACTGAAGCTCTGCACCACCGGTTTTCCAGCGGATTGTCATCTGGAATGACATTGTAAACTATGTGACTTCCCGGTTCGAAATCATCAAATTCAATTTTGAGTTCTTCCGGATTCGAAAGATGGTTGTAGAACTTTGTCATTTCAACATTGAATTTATCTTTCTTTTCAACACTACTTTTCGGAATCAGGTACATTTTTTCAAGGTTCTCGAAATTGACAACTAGCATATCGGCAACTTCGGGTTCTGTGAACGAAGAGAAACTGACTTTAGGGTGTGATCTGATTTTTCGAATTTCATCGATAAGCTTTTCCTCGCTGACGAAAAGCTCAATAGCGATGGGCGATTCTTCATTGATTTCTTTGATTTGAATTGAACAACTTTTTGGAGCTTCTGCATTGATTGTAATTGAGTTGGTCAAAGCTTGTTCTACGTCCCAATTTATCAAATCTTGAACTTCTTTTGAAAATTGGAACTTCACGCAGCAGCTCGGTATTTCAATAAGCGCTTGGGTCACTTCATAAATCTCAGAATTGTTGCAAACTTGCTCGTTTCGATAATCTATGAACACAACTTTCACTTTAGTCTCGTCAACAATTTCTTCAATTTGCGCTCGATAATAATTCTGATCTTCGACAAATTTGGTCACACAATATTTTCCGACTTTTGGGCGCCGAACAATCTTTTTTAGCAACTTTTGATTGGAAGAATATTCAGTTAGAAGGTTTTCGACCTGCTCTAGATGGTTTTCAAATTGTGCGAATATTCCCTCTTTAGTGAGCGAAGCTACTACGACTTCCGTTTTGGTATCATCTGAAATTCCATAAATTTCTGTCGCAACTGAATTTCCTTCTCTTATTTTCGGCCATTCAATTTCATCCTTTCCTATTTCTCTGCAAACTCCACTTTCGATCAATTGGTCTTTCAAATCTAGATCTCCTGGCTGTATTTTAACATTAACAGATGGGTAACTGCCTTCATTTTGGTCGACCTGTGTTAGCTGTAGCTCATTTTCTCCGAGAACTTCGGCAACTACAAATTCATCCGAGGCTAAATACTTGTCATCTTCATCTGGTATTACTCCTGCCAATTTAACTATCAAAGCTTGAGGTCGCATTATTTCAGCGAAACATTTCTTGATTTGTTTCAGATCTTTCAACTCTAGCGACGTTTCACGAGCCCAGTCAACCATGTACACTTGGTACGAAGAATCAAGAACACTTTTGACTTGGCCTCTGCAAAAAGATTCATACTCGCTGTCATATGCAATCACTAACATTCCTTCCATAATTTTGTCTGCTGTTAAATCAATAGTTTCATCTTTTTGGCCTTCGAATTGAGTGTAGTAATGATTCAGATCTTCTTGAAGAATAGAGAATTTAACATTTTCTTCATCTCCGATTTGCAAAGCTAAATTATCTGGACTTGGAGTCGCTAGCGCAAAGCAAGAGAGGAATTCTTGCGAATCTGGAGGAATCTTGACGTTTTCTGGGAATTTAAATTCTCCGGAGTTTTCATCTTCGGCTAGTTCCAGTTCTTTCAGGGTATCTGTTAGCCATGCTTCACCGACCATCAAATCAATTCTGTATGGCTTCGACACTCGCAGTTGGATTTCACATTTGAATTTCTTCTCTGCAGCGTTTTCATGAGTTGCTTCAGCGTCTTCCAGTAAAGTAGTTTCCAGATATTTAACGGCTTCAACGATTTTTCCGGGCAGGGGTTTACAATTGAAAAGAGAACAACAAAACGAAAACGGTGGCAGTTTAGCCAAAGCGTGATCTAATTTCCAACACTTACTAAAATCACAATCAATAGTATTACCAAAATCGATAAGCAAAACTCGATAAAGATTGTCGTCCAACTTTTCGATCAATTTACCTCTGTAAAATTCTTCATCTTCCGACCATTTCACAACCAGAAAATCACCCACTTCAATTTTCTCGATTTGCAATTTTTCGGGGTGAATGTTCTCGTAAGCATTTCGAATTGAATCCATTAAAGAGTCTAGTTCTGCGGCTTTTTCAATATTTTGAATGTGTACTAAAACGTCATCTGGTATTTGCTCAACGTGCGTAACTTTCACATCAATAGACCTCAAGCTGCTCAAATCTTCATTCGTAACTTTAGGATTACTTTTCACAAAGTTAACAATTTCTATCAAATTCCGCCCGTTAAACATAACATCAGCACTCAAAGCTGCTAATTTTTCTTCAAATTGAGACACCTTCACATTTTTCAAGGTCACATTTTGCATGAAGAGATTCTCTTGGAGGTAATTTAGGACATCCCAGTTCATTAATTCAGACATTTTGGGCACTGTTATTCGCAACGCATTACGAGGCTCGTCCAACACTTTGCTGCAATCTTTATTCCATTCTATCAATTCACTTTGGGTAGTTTCTTCCGTATTTCCGAAATCGACAAACCGAACTGTAATCGGCCCATTTTTCTGTGCGTCAATAATCTCAGCCCTGTAAAACATGCCGTCTTCACTGAAACGGGCAGCACAAATTTTTCCCACAAGTGAACGGCGCAACCCTGACTCAGGCTCTGAAATGTATTTCTCGTTGCAAATTGCTGCTACGTGATTCTGCATAATATCAATTTCGGTTACACGACTTTGAATCTGCACCCAAAGATATTCTTTATCTATTCCAGAAACCGCAAGTTGTTGTGATGTGTTTTCGGCGTCTATATCAAACAGGGACCATTTATAGGACGAGTTGGACAAGAGCGATTCTGCTTTCGACTCTCTGCTGGCTATTTCATTCTGGACGAGATACTCGGAATAAGTCTTTCCGTTAAACATCACTTCCGGGTTTTCAATGTTTTCAATTGTGCATACGTGGCCTGCGATATGTTTCTTAGCTATTTCATTTTCGATTTGAACGAATGAATCTCCTTCAATGGGAACCAAATTTCTGATTTCAATTTTAGAGCAAAGGGGTGGAATTTGGGCCAAATAATTCGGAAGCTTTCTCAATTCCATCGTCTCCGTGTATTCAGAAGAAATGTCATAATCAATGAAAATAAACTCAATTTTGTTCTCCGAAGACGGATCTGCCTGTTTTTTCAGTTGGGCTCTGTAGTATTTTTCGTTCACATGGCATGCTAGGAGCGTGCCTTCTGCTACGTTTCCTTCAGAAAGCACCGTATCGTCGTCAGCAAATTCGAAACCTTCCCAGCCAATGAAAATTTCCTCGTTCAAATTGTTCAATTCGGTTTCAAATCTTTTCAGGTTGTAAGCAAACTTCAGAGGCGTTTCAAACCGTGTCACATTAATTTGCTGCTTTAACGGCTGTATTTCAGGCATTTTCGGGTACTGGAACTTTGTTCCCATGTTAATAGCCGTCTCGGCTTCTAGATCCAGCGTGACGATATTGATTCTTCCCAAATGCAGCAAAGCTACTTTAATCTTTGTATCAACAAGCTCTGATACTTTTTCATTATCTGTGTCGACAATAACACATTGCAACGTTGTGGCCGGACAATTTTTACCGCTGAATATAGGAACCAACTTTCGGAGATTTTTGATGGCCCCGCTTTCGATGGATCCGTAATCAATGTTAAATACTTGAACATTATCTTCATCAGTGATTTTGATTATTTCAACTCGATTATAATCAAAACTTTCATTGTCAGTTTCTTTCTTGACAACAACGTATGATCCGACGTCCACATCCCATTTTTCACAAGTTAGAGGGTTCGCCTTTTCACCGTTCGGCAGGTATATTTCTTTGTCATGCTTATTGTAAAATTCGTTCAAATCGGTCTGCAACTTATCAAGTTTTTCAGATTCATAAACCGGAATGGCCGAAAATACGGGATTAATGTCAGATTTTTCTTCTAATTGCAGCATTTCAATTACCTTCAGCTCTATTTGATCAGCTTCAATGGTAATATTCTCGACAATTTGCTTCGAATTCAATTCCAGCAACAAATCACCAACCTTTTTTCCATTAACTGATGCATTAAACATGTCTACTTGTGGGAACGAAATTTCATTTTTGATTTCGGGAAGCGACAGGTAAAACATTGTGAAGGGTGAAATTAGTGGCAACAGACTTTTGGGCAGAATATTCACGCTTTTTGTCATGATTGGCTCCGATGCAATTGACTGAGGATAAGCGTATACATTCTCAGCCAGCTCGCAACTTCCTGAATCAACCATACGCAGAACAAACTTTTTCTGGTCTCCATCTTTGATCGATTTCAAAATAACGCCACGTTTCATGGCTTTTGCGGTTCCTTCAACAGGACTAGCAACCAAGTAAACATAACCCTGTTCTGGTTTTTTGATCGCATATTGATCCAGTTGCTCAATTTTTCCAAAAAATGAGGCAACCTTGGAATCAAAAGTTTCCAGCTGAGCATCACGATTTTCAGTTGACACCCAGAAACTTTCTGAATCACAAGCCAAGATTCTTCCACGTTTCAGTTTTTCTTCATCAGAAGTTTCATCTATGAATGGAATGACATTATGGTTTGCATTTTCGAGTTCATCATCTGATTCTTGCTTCACAGCAAATTGCTTTTCCAAGAGCAGCTCGGAGCAATTTCCAGCAGCTGCTGTTACATGAACAGTCACACAATTCGATTTATCACGAGAAATGAATGAAACATCAACATCAGCATATTCAACGGCCTCTTTGAAAAACTTGAACCCTGACAAGGTCCATTCGCCCTCAAGGTAGGGTCCAGTGACTCCATGCAATCGACACTTAATCGCCAACTTGCAAATTTTCGACAATTCCTGATTTAAAGCAAGCAATTGTTCCTGGGGAACATTTTTCCGTTTGTATCCCGTATCGCAGTAAAACAGATCGCATTTAGGCTGTCCTGAGGTACTAGTACTCGTCCCTGGACCGTCTCCTGATTGATTTGTGACCCTGACGACTTCAACTCTGTTGCCTTTATTCTGGGCGGAGGGCCGAAGGTAGCCCAAGTTTGCTGTTACTGATTGCGGAGCTGTAACTTCAGCAGAATTTATTGTAAGGTAGTTCTTGATCAGCTCGTTCATTTTAGTCATTTCGCTGTTGATCACAACGTAGAAGCAGGATGGACTGTCAACTTGAAATATTCTGCACTTGACAGACGAATCAGTAGGCAGAAACGAGTCGTATTCGTACAGTCGTGCTCCTTTTCCAGTCTTCGAGACCACGGGAGACGGGGGTGTTGCAGGTACCGGTTTTGGATTCTTTTCTGAAGATCCACTTGAGTTTCTCGAATGCCTAGGATTTATTGGCCCTCCCCCGATTTTGGGTGCACCTGCTCCTCCAAAACTTCCACCACCACCTCCGAATCCTCCGCCACCTTGCGATCTTGGAGGCCGATCTCCACCGAACCCCCCAGAATTGTTTTCGAACTTTCTTGGCGGTCTTCCACCTTCCTCTGAGTTTCCACCAAATCCACCGCCTCTATTATTTGGCCTACTATCTGCGAAACCTCCTTTGTTCTCGGACGGTTTTCCTGAGTCGAAGCCTCCACCACCACTTGCAAATGCTGGTTTATCGCTTGACCTGAAACCTAAAAGAAAGAAATTATTTCTCCCAAATCAAGTTTCTATACAACATCGTCAAGCATTATAAAGAATCAAAATGACTATGGAGAGGATTGACCAAGGGCAAAGTAAATACCCACTGAGATTCGACCCTTAAAAGTAGGGGTTATAATTCTTGATTTAAATATATTCTTAGTAAATTCTTATTATGATTTTTATTATTTTTTAATTTAATTACTTATGGTAAGGAAAATTCATATATTTAACAATATATCAAAACTAGCTTACGGCTGCACTATGTAATCACCTTGCAATGAATTTAGGCTTAGGATTTTGACACTTGGCAAAAAAAGAAAACATTTTTCTTTTAAATTCGAATTCTCAATCATTTCGAAATTTGAGTTGAATGCAAGCCTTAACATACCAGGTAACTATTTTCAGACCCCGACGTAAGCGCCATACGACTTACACAGTATCATTTTAAACTAAACCAAAAAAATTTAGAAAAAATTAGATATATAAGATAAATATTTATCAAGCTGAAACTCTTTATGGCTTTTGCTGTTGGAAGTCACATTGGTACCATCAGCAAAAAGAAAGACATTAGCGCTATTTGCTGCAAAAGGCAAATCATTGATACAAACTGATAAGGATAGCTGGTTACTGTGCAAACGGCACATAATGTTCCGACCTGTCTTAAAAATACAACAAAGTTTTGCAGTATTTTGAGTTTTTGAAAATCTTAATTCCAAAAAAAAAACATTATAATGGTCAAAGTAAACTAATGTTAATAAAAAAAAACTAATTTTTCACTGTTTAATTAAGCTTTTGTAAGCTTTCAAGCAGTTAAATTAAGACTGCTCGCTCGCTTTATTCGCTCGAAGCCGAAAAATCGAAAATTTCAAACCGGTTTGTTTTCAACACGGAGAAAAACTTTTTGAATTTTCTAAATGCTGTTCGAATCACGACTGTAAGGGCTTTAATATGATACCACTCAACCCAGTCCGATAATTATTTGTGGTTTGTGATTTTGTCAGGAAAACAAAAAACCTATAATACACCCGAATACAAAGTTCCTCCCCATTTTCAATGGTCGGAACAAAAACAGAAGGGAACCAAGTATCGAGCCTTGTGGAACACCTGCTGCGATAAGTAACCAATCAGGTGGGGTATCATTGACTTACACACATTGGTATCTTTCAGATAAGTAACTGTGAAACCAAAAATTTTATTTGCCGCGAATCCCTTGGTTTTCTTATTTAGACAAATTTCGTGATCAAGCGTATGAAAGGCCTTTTTCAAATCATTGAGAAAACTTCATTGAAATTTTTTTTTCAATACCTAGCCTCAAGCGCTCAGTAAATTCAGCTAAGGCATCTACTGAAGCATATTTTTGACAACATCCAAATTGACGCTCATAAAGTAGGTCGAACTTTCCGAGATATTTGTATAAACTAAAGTGCATTACATTTTCAATAATTTAACTGCAGCTATTGAGCAACGATATTGGTCGATAGTTGTTTAAATCCAATTTTCTCTTAGATTTATAAAGAGGTAACACTTCTGTGTACTTAAGTGAAATAGGAAACAACCTGTTTTGAAGGATAGATTAGTTATAAATGTTAGGCAGGGAGCAATTATGAAGCAATCTTCAGTACAAAGATGTTGCTTATTTCATCAAGGCCGGTTTTAAATTTGTTTCGGTTTCAAATTTTGAATAATAATATTGAATATTGCATGCAACGAACTATCAGCTTTTCCAGCAAACCCACCCATTTTTGAATCGCCGAATGAACGATCGCCACTAGCTTCGTTGTTAAGCTGAGGACGACCGCCACCAATTCCTCCTTGCGGTCCATTGAAGTCTCTTCTAGGTGGCCTATCGTCTCGAGACTGGAAGCCACCAGGTCTGTCACCTCTGTTTCCAGGACCGTCTCGCGGAGGTCTGCCGTCACGTGACTGGAATCCTCCACTTCTTTCAACTATATTTCCGGGACCCTCCCTTGAAGACCTGTCTTGCTGGCCCTGGAAACTTGATCCCGCTCCGTCTCTTAGATTCAATCGAGGAGGTCTACCATCATTTGCGTTGAAGCCTGGTCCACCCTGTCGATTATTTCCAAATCCTGGACTTCTCTCACCGCCGAACTGTGGTCCAATTTGTGCTTTTCCCGGACTTGGAGGTCTGTTTCCCCCGCCAGGACTTCTCGGGCCAAGCCGACTGCGATCGAAACTTTTTGGCGACAACCGCTGATTCGTACGTACCTCGTTAATTGCTTGTCTGGCATCAAAATTCCCATTAGGTGACATATGTCCGCTTGGTTTTGGGCTGGATATCGGGCTTGGAACTGGTTTGTTAAGAATTTTAAGAACATCTTCACCAGACTCATCTATTAAACTGATCAAGAATTTTCCACTAGAGTCGTCTAATAGCTCAAAGGACACCATAAAATGTTGCTGGTCAATCTTGCTAAGGAAGTATTCTTTCTTGGCGTCATCTAAACCTTGCCAGAAGGCTTGGGTAATCTTTTTGATTTGACAGTGAATTGCCAATGGTGGGTACTGGTATAAGGATCCCTCTAGTTTACGAATGTTGTCTTTCTGGACCGTCTCTTTGTTGCCGTAGTCGACAAACAGAACCCACCAAGTGGTGTCGTTGACCGCACTTACAACTCGTGCACGGTACCAACATTCATCTGCGTCGAATTTGGCGGCACAAATTACTCCTGGTTTCACATCCAATCTATTCCCGTCCTGTTCTCCGTAAATTTGCATCATCTAAACATATTCAACAGGCAGTCGTTAAAATGTTAATAAATAAGGAAGCACAAAAAAACGAATGAACAAAAACTTCAACACTTAATCCTTAAAAAAAACTTAAACTGAGAAGAAAAATCACTTATAAAAAACATAGCCAACTGATTAATCTCAAAAATATATTTCTGATTTAAAATGACAAAACATTTTGACTTACGATCATACTTGATTTAAACGATTTATCTCTTATAAATTTACCGCAAAAACCTAAACTCAAATTTCCAGAAAAAATCAATTCAATCTTTAGACCAGTCTATTTATCACATCTGTATCTAAATTATCACGAAGATACATTTTGGTGCAGGACACGAACCAGCATCAACTGAATCATCAAACACACACAACAATCCTGTGTTATTTCATCATCTCGCCAGACAGCGTGGTACGCCAAACAATTTCTTGACATGGGTCCACGAAACATCATCACCCGAGGAATCCCAAGGCTGTTGGAGGAGGAATTCGAGCAGTTCCAGGAGCTACACGACCATGCGGTCCGAGGTCGTTGATGTCATTTTTAACATATCCGAATACCATAATAGGATAAGGTCAGGTACCTCCGAAAGGTCGCGATCGGATCCCTATTCGTGCCCGGTTGATCGGGGGGTATTGAAACGAGGTCTCTCTAAGGTGCCGCGGAGCGACACCTACGTCGGCAAGATTCACAAGAATCCTACTACCAAAAATTGGTCGTCAGGGGCTCGGAAAGATTTCAGACCAGGAAATTCCATCACCCAAAGAGTTCCAAGGCTGTTGGAAGAGGAGTTCCAAGAGTTTCTGGGAGCTACAGAACCATGGGATCCGAAGTCGTTGATGTCGCAAAAAATACCTCCGGCGGGACCCAGAATAGCTACCTCAAGCACCTAAAAAGACTTGCGATCGAGTTCCCATGCTTGCCCGGTAATTCTGGTTAATCTGAAACGAGATCTGGCTGCGATGAAGAAAAGCGACACCAACGCTGACAAGAATCCCAGCAATGATTCTTACGCCAACTTTACACAAGACAAGAAAAACTCCCTCCCAGAGACCCTAAAGGTGTCCATTGTTCACCCAGGAGGATCCCAGGGGAGTCGAGGATAACAATCGAAGTCTTCCAGAGCTTCCACGAGCTGCAATTGTGATCCAACGCCTAAGGAACTCCAACTTTCGCTACTCTAAGATCGCCAAATGAACATTCCTTTGAAACCATAGAGGACACTGATGATTCTCCACGCAGTACGATTACGTGTCGTATCATCTTCAGTAGCTTGGGCAAGATCGCCGACACTCTCGAATTCCTGATCCTTGCGATGAGTCTACCCAAGATACTCTTCCGGCAAAATTGGAACGGAGAACTCGATTGGAATGATGCTGTCGGAAAATGCATTGGAAATCAGTTCGACTACTGGATGTCTACACTGGAAACTTTAGATGAGCTCCAGGTGCCGCGATGTGCAACGTCACCTTTCGAAGAATTTGGAAGCCCGAAATTCCAACTACACATCTTTTGTGATGCCTCGGAAGGTGCCTATGGAGCTTGCATCTATGCCCGGAAATCTTCGGGCAATACCGATGCCTGATAACAACGATACTGATAACAACCATCACTGGATCCGAATCGAAGGTTTGGAACCCTGCGGAAGCTTTTGAGAAAAGCATCACTGGTTATGAGGCTCATTGCCATCATTAGAAAGCGCCATTTGACATCCAGTAAAGCTAGGTTCAAAGGTTTACAGGCAGTGGATTTTTCAAGTCCAGGCTAATAGCTTCCCAGAAGAGCTCGCGTGCCTTAATCGCAACAAGCCAGTCAGCAAGATATCCAAGATACAACAATTGTACCCATTCGTTGATGAGCACCAGAGAGTTAAGAGTTGTTGGTCGAATGACAGCTTTAGACTGCCTCAATGAAGATGCGGACTACCAGATGATTCTTCCGGATAGGAACGACTTATCGCAACTCATTGTTCGAGACAGCCAGGAGAAGCTTCTACACGCCGGACAAAAAGCAACAGTTCACCAAACTCGATAACGCTTCCGGATCATCGGTGCACGAAGGATGACCAGACAATTGATAGCTGCATGCTTTAAGCGTTTTGATGTCGAAGTATGAGCCAGTTGATTGGTGACTACCCTTCAGAAGGAGTCAATCCCTCACCTCCATTCACATATTCTAGCATTGACCTCGCGGGAGGACCCCTTACATTCAAGGAAGAACACAAGAAGACGCACACATTTTCATCGTATTTAGTTGCTTTTCCACGAAAGCTGTTCATTTGGATTTGGTCAACTCGCTTAACACGCAGGATTGCCTAAAAGCTATGAGGAGGTTCATGGCGCGCCGGGGTTGTCCAAAAAAAATTTCTCGGATAATGGGACTAACTTCATTTGCTCCTTGGGACACTTCATCAAATTCAAGTTAGTTCAGGAGCGATATAGCCAAGAATGCTTGCCACAAGCGGTATTAGATTTAAGTATTAACTGGGCGATAATACCAGCTATAGCTACCAACTTCGGAGGATTATGGGAGGCAGCAGTAAAATTAATGAAAATGCTACTTAAAAAAACAATTGGAAAATCAACAAGTCTGTGCTATGACGAGCTATATACCATCGCATGGCAAATATAAATATTCATGAACTCTATGCCACTGACAGTCATATCTGATGATCTTCCAGACCCGAACCCATTGATACCTGCAATGTCACTAAATGGTTTCAATAAAAACCAATTACCCTCAACCAGTCCCAATGCCTGAAACCCAGAAAAGAGACTTAACTGTATGAAGCATCTAATCGGCGAAATTTGGAAGGAGTTGATGAAAGACTATCTTGTAGAAATGCAGAAAAGACCAAAAAGACGCAACCAAAAGAAAACAATGAAAAAGGCAATCTGGTGTTTCTAACTTAGGACAATATATCACCATTACATTTGCCGAAAGGTGTTGTAATAGAAGTAAATTCAGGGAATGACGACCTTATACGAGTCGCAAAGATCAAATTAGCAGAAAAAATTACAATTAGAGCAATTATGAATCTAAAAAATTGCCCAGATACTGACAATAGTTCAGAACTGTGCTTGCTATGTATTGTCGCGTCGGCCTTCCAACCACGTCAAAATAGTTGGTGTTTGGCAATTAAGATCAGGAAGTTATGGCCAACCACGGGGAATGACGACCTTATACGAGTCGCAAAGATCAAATTAGCAGAAAAAATTACAATTAGAGCAATTATGAATCTAAAAAAGATACTGACAATAGTTCAGAACTGTGCTTGCTATGTATTGTCGTGTCGGCCTTCCAACCACGTCAAAATAGTTGGTGTTTGGCAATTAAAATCAGGAAGTTATGGCCAACCACGGGGAATGACGACCTTATACGAGTCGCAAAGATCAAATTAGCAGAAAAAATTACAATTAGAGCAATTATGAATCTAAAAAAGATACTGACAATAGTTCAGAACTGTGCTTGCTATGTATTGTCGTGTCGGCCTTCCAACCACGTCAAAATAGTTGGTGTTTGGCAATTAAGATCAGGAAGTTATGGCCAACCACGAGCAGGTCCTCTCGTGGTCCCTCCTCTGCAACAACTTTTGAGAAAAAACGAAAAAAATCATCACGACCTATATAAGACTCTGAACTGCAGATAAAAAAAATATAAGAATATTGAAGTTTTCTGAACATCAAAAAATTTGATGATCAACACTTTCATAAAACTGGTCAAATTAGAAAAAACTAGATTTCATTCCGCTGGGAAATGTTGAAACTAAAATCAACGTTCGAACTAAAAATGATTTCCATAACATTTTTTCATTTCGAACGTGGATTTAGTTTCAGGATTTCCCAGCAGAATAAAATCCAGTTCTCTCTAATAAGGCTACTCTTATGAAACTGTTGATCCTAAAATTTTCATTCACGTTCATTTCGCAATTTTTTGCTTTCCTACTTGGATAGGGCAAATTACCTTGCTTTAAGCAAATGATTTGAATTAAAGGTGGAAAAAAATAGTCAAACGCACAAAAAAAAAGAAATCATCAAGGCCTATACAAGTGTATTCACTATCTTCAGTGACACTAAATAACAGTCAACAAATGCATTCACACCATTCCATTGAACGATACGACAATGCCACTAACAGATAGTTGGAAAAGAGTCAATGAAAGCAAGGAAACAAGAAAACTGACTTGTTTTTTGAAAAACTTGAAAGTTCGTATTTTGAAATAAAAAATATACGGCCTTAGAGGTTTAAGAGTTTTACACAGGAGCGAAGCTTTGCTGCGCAAACTCTAGCGAGATCACGACAAAAAGCAGCTCTATAAAGTGCAATAGGTAAAAGTAGAATTAAGTCTCGAATTAGTAAAAAAAAATTTTACTGCGTTTGAGATTCAAACCTACGACCTAGAGATTAAGAGTCTCAGACACTAAACACTCAGTCAGGGAAGCTTAATAGGTACCTAACACTAGTCACAAATGAAGCAGAGAACAGATGCTATGCAATTTCCAATGCTACAGTGATAAATCCAAATAAGTGAACACTTTTAATGAACACTTGTAATTGCCAGTTAGGTTAGGAAACAAAGGAGGTTCATAATAAAACACTAAGCTGATTGCTAGTGTAAAGAACAACTTATGATTGACACTTTTTTGATAAAGTTACATCAGTTTAAGAAAACTGGATAAATTGTGAAATTTATATTCCGCTGGGATTCTATAAACTTAAATCCACTTTTGAAGCTAAAATTCGTTTTTACGCGCCATTTCCACGTTCGTATTTAAAGAGCGCAACTTACCTAAGTTTTAGCAAATTCAGATGAATTTGAAGTGAACTCAAAAAGTGCATACATACCTTATGAATGCACTTCTGTAGTTTATTGAGCATTTTAAAATTTTTCCTGAAAAGACATCATCACGACCTATATACCTACACAAGAGTCTTCGCTGCGTTTCTCGACTCTAAAAACAAATGCTCCGAACTTTGAATTGAAGCTTACCCGATTCTGAATGTTGTAGAAGTCATCTTCGTCTCTTCTAAGTACCAAGAAGACGTCATTCGGTGAAGGCGCGTACACCACTCCTGCCTTCACTGTTGAGCCCACCGAGGGAAGCGCCAGGGTCGGCAGATGCATCACTGAAGCCACCGGACCCCCAGGTATGCCCGGAGATGCTACCGAACTCGGACCCGATTGACTTGACATTCGCTCCTTGATCTGGTTTAACTTCGTGATCATCAACTCATTCACGTTTTGAGCAACAGCTGTTGGACTTCTGGCACTAGCTGGCTTCTTACTTTTTAAAATGACAGAGTACTCCCGGTTCTGCGCTGTGGTCCCGGATTCTTGAACTATGTTTATCGACAAATCTGTAACCTTAGCCAATTGGTCAAATAGAGTCTCTAACTCATTGAAGTCGTTGTGCGACAAGCGAGAACCGTCCCTTCCTACAGGGTTATCCACATTGTGCAGAGTACATTTCACCAATTCGGCTGGACATTTCTTGACAAAGTAAATCGGAAGCTCGTACAACTCTTTCAATTCAGCCGAGAATGAATCTCCATAGTCTATGTTGACAAGGTTAAACTAAAACATCATCATTGGTAATCAAAGAACATAATCAACTCAGAGGCGAAGCGGAGCTACAATAACGAATGACTATGATTTCCAGCAAACGAAAAGACAAATCAAAAATCGGAAAAAAACTTCAAAAAATCGTTAAAATTGAAGAACGAAAAATTCCTGAAACAAAATTATCTGAACCGGTAGAAATATTACAAAAAGAGCTTTCAAAATGCTAAAAACAACCTTTCTGCGGGACCCAATCCGACAAAAACTTGCAGACACGAAAGTCTAAAATAGTCGAAAATTTATAGTTTTCACAAAAAAAAAATTCCGACTGGAATCGAACTTCTGGTCTCAAGCATGGGTATTACCACTTCACCAAATACACAGAACATTCCTTGAATTTTTAATGAAAACAACTTTCAAAATCTTTAAATAAACGAAATAAAAAAAATCAAAAAATAGCAAAAAAAAAAACAGACAAAACTTCTTGGAACTCAATTACTTTCCCAAAACCGGAAGACACTGAAATGATTTTTAATTTGAGTTTTAAAAAGCCTAAAGTTTAGGCAAACTTGGTGCTGCGGTAACTAAGCCGACAAAAATGCAGAGAAACAGACATCCTACTAAGGTTTTTTGACGCCTGGACAATTTTCCGCTTACAAAAAAAACAGGTCCTGTCGGTATTCGAACCTTTGCACATTGTCTTTACACGCGGTTGCATTGCCTCTTCGCCACATTCCCGCTAAACTTTCAGACTTTTTATTTCATATGAACCAAAGGTAAAATGATTGAATTGATTCTTTTAAACTAGATTTTAAACCGAAAAAGTCTATATTCCGGTCTGATGACGATTGCTAATCGCAAGCGAAATAACTAAGATTGATTTATTCGGGCTCGCTTCATATTTGAGCAATTCAGTAATGCCTAGTTTTTGTCACTATTGAAAAACATTAACAAGGGTAAAATTATATGACGGATCCGATAAAATTTATCTGAAGTTTTAACATACGGCCTACCGGCTCTTTTCCAGTTCCCCCCCCCTTTAATGTTTTCTGAAATTCATTATATGAAAGTCTATTTAAAATGATTTTTCATGTTAGAAACTGCAATAAAACGTGTCAGCGTGAATAAGTGAACAAATTTCTACAACATTTCTAACATGCAAATTGCCGTGTGAACAATTTTTGAACATCTTTGTTTTGTAATTTAACAAGGGGGGTGGAAAACTGGAAAAGAGCCGGCCTACCTCTTAAGCCAGGGTCACTAAAATTGTATCCACTAACCGATGATCCTCCTTGGATATTTGAGACATAGCAACGAGCCCACTCTTCTTCTGTCTCCACGTACGCAGCAAACACATCGCCTGCAAATGAAAAAACTTAGATTTCAGATTTGACCTCAAAGCAACGGCTGAATTAGAAGCAAGCCAGAGCTCAAAAGTACTTCAAGGAAATCGAACTTCAAGAAAATCGAAACAACCAAGAGAGAGATTAGACTTTGAGCTTAAACCTTTATGAAAAAACTTTGAATTTCAAAAAAAAGATTGACACCTTTTTTGATACAAGTAACCCAATTTAAGAAAAGTGAATGAATAAACTGTAATTTCGCTGGGTTCAAATAAAATCCTTTTTTAAGCCAAAAAAATAACATTCCCGTTTTTTCCCGCAATTTAGACTTTTCTTATTGGAGCGCGTAATTCTCCTAACATTTCAGCTCAGTAAAAAAGCTCATATATTTATACGACGATGATTTCAACATCGGTAGACGATAACAAGCAATAACATACAAAACCATTGCACAAACAATATAAGAAAAAATAACTTCAAGTAACACTTGTGAAAACAAAAACATAAAAAACTACGAGGAGTAATTATACTTTTTCCGGTCACTCTGGTAGAAAAATCTTTGAAGTTAGATCCAGTTTTACGGCTTCGCTAAAAGTTATTTTTAGACAAAATGGCTAAATATAAGACATTGGCTACAGATAAATTTATTATTTAGCTGGAAAATCTGAAAACTACCAGCCACTTTCGACATTAGATTTCGATCTCATTTTTAAGACCTTTGCACGGGAGTTAATGGAGAGTTGAGTTGGCCTTCCTTTTAAAAAAACGAACTGAACATAAAAAATAAGAAATTGAAAGTCAAAACACGAAAAATCAAAAAAAGCGTGAACAAAATTATTTGTCTTTATCCTGAAAATAAAAACAAAAAAACTTAAAAAAACCAAAAAAAAAATTATATCATAGTCTTCGCCAGTTGAGAAAATTGATCGAAAAAATTATTTTTCTAATATAATCCACTGAAAATGCAGAAAATCTAAGTCAATTTTCCGATTCGTGAAATTCGCCCAACTGGCTATTAGCCATTTTCCCAAAAAAAACTATATGGCCTAAAGCTCTTGGAATTATAGGAACAATTTATCAATGACACTTTTTCCATAAAATTCAACCAATTTGAGAAAAACTGGAACAAAAGGTTTTTTTTTCAGCTGGAGAATTTTAACACAGACGAAGCTGCACTTCGCAAACACTTGTGAGAACACGCCCAAAAAGCAGCTCTATTAAGTGAAATAAGAAAAAATAGTATTCGAATCTGCGACCTCGGCTACGTGTAGGAATCGAAACTGCGACCTACTGCAATCACGAGATTTTGGGTCTCACGCACTATCCCCTCAGCTAAACAAGCGACAAACACTAGCCCTGAATAACGCAGCTACCTATGCTAATAAAATGCCAAGGCCATTGAGCAAAAGTGGAACTAAATACAATTAGACTCAATTTCGCAAGAATAAATTGGAATATAACAAACTGAAGGCATTTACACTAACTTTGCATGTAACAAATCGCAAAGCATAAAACCTCATTATGTATTCATTGTGCACTTGAAAAAATTTCGAGATATATTGAGTCAGAAATTTGTGAAATCGAGTTTTTATTGTGATGTTTTTCAAACAAATAGCTTTTTTTCGGTTCATTTGATGACTTAAAAATGCATCAACTGTGATAATTTATTACTATTCGAATGTCAAAGCAAATGCTGTCTAAAAGATGTAAAGGTGTCCCAAAAGTGGCACCAATATTTGCGACTTAGGTTGGAAAAAAAGTTCGTACTAACACACTAGCTTCGCAAGTGTAAAACCACCCTGCGAAACTGAGTAGTTCACCTCTTTTCACACCTTCGTCGTTTGTGAGCGTACTTTGCCTTCGTTTTAACAACTGAACATGAATTGAACTTAAGAAAAATTCAAAAATACCACGAACACAGCATTGCAATTTAGTAGGCAAAAGTAAACCACCAAGTAAAAACAACGTGAAAAATTCGAAAAAAAATTCACCTCCTTCAAAAAATTCACAGTCTATATTACTGAGCAAAAAATAATTTAGCTAGTGATACAAAGTAAGGAAATAAATTTTACATTTAAAAGCAAAAAGAGCGTTGGAAAAGTGCTAAAGATTCTAAAAAGCCTGACTCTTTTATGATTGAAGTTTCCAACTTCATAGAAAAAATACACAATGAGATGGAAATAATACAGTGGAAAAAAAAACTTGAACCTTGAAATAAGAAAAAAAAAATCTATATAAAAACACACGAGAAACACAACCATTAGCATTAAGCAAGCTTTAAGTAACTTCCGAACAACCACTAAGCCACCAAAAAGTGCTTAGACGCCAATTGATCTGAAAACGAAAAAAAACAAAGGAAATGGTTGTCATAAAAAACGTTTTTTTTCTGGAAATATGAAAAATTCATTCTCAGAAAAACAAACGAGACATACAACCACTAGCATTAAGCAAATTTTTCAGTAACTTCTGAGCGACCACTAGGCTAACAACACGTTGTTAGACGCAATTTAATCCGAAAACAAAGGAAATGGTTTGTCATTAAACTAACACTTTTTTGGAAATACGAAAAACTCAATCTCAAAACAACAGACGATAAACACAAGCACTAGCATTAAGCAACCTTTAAGTAACTTCAGAGCAACCACTAAGCCAACAACACGTGCTTAGACGCCAATTGATCGGAAAACAAACATACCAATGGATATGGTTGTCATTAAAAAAATAATAATTTTTTTTTGAAATACGCAAAATTTAATCTCGAAAAACAGACGAGGAACGCAGCCACAAGCAGTTAACAAGCTTTTAGCAATTTTAAAGCGTTCACTATGCCAACAACACGTAGTGAGACGCCAATTAAACCGATACCAAAAAATTTCGAAAGAAACTTTCATAAAAAACTTTTATACTACCCGCCGACCTGATTTAATAAAAACATGAATACTGATTTTTTATCCTTATACCATGCAAAATAAGTTCAATAATCCGGCTAAAGAAGCGCCGAAATAATTTAGGCCGGATAAAGCTTCTAAGCGAAAACAAAAAGTAAAAACGGAAAATATACAGGTCAGGTATAGTTAAAAGCTACATGAGTTAATGGAGTTGATCAACGACACTGAGACTACAATGAAAACTGATACCAGATGACACTAGATGAAAACCCATGACGCTAGGTTTCGAAGGCAACTGCATATACTCCAGAACAAGTGCGATGGTGTCTGGAAGTTGCCAAGGTTTGATAATAAAGCAACATTAATTTCAATTAAAAATGTGTATAAGTTGTTTCAGGAAAAAGGTCTAGTTCTCGATTACAAGACTCTTGCTATTGTAACAATTAGAAATTACACTAAAAAGAATAAAAAAACAATTTCAATACAAAAAATATCATACAACATAAGAAAAATTTTTTAAAATGTGGCAACCAAGCCGGCACACCATAATCAGACAACCCATAGGCCGATCATTTTTGATACTTAAAATTTTAGATTTAAAAAAGCAGGTGCTGACCGGATTTGAGCGAACTTCCTTAGCCGTCTGCAGCTTCCGAAAACGCAAAAAAAATGAGCTAGAAACTTTTTTTAGACATATACCCATTTTGTTCACGCGGCCAGAACAAACCACTTTGATCATTTTTTCTTAAAAAACAGCTTTGAAATACTATTTTACAGTAGCATTTGAGCTACCTACTTAAACATCAGGAAAAGTCAGAAGTGCTCTGATCACATGACCGAAATACATGCTTGAAAATAGAGCGAAGTTTCTACCGAACAATTGTACCCAAATATAACCACGCAAGCAAAAAAATAAGTGCAAACTCAAACTCACTTCGTGCTGAAACTCAAACATACTAACCGGGCTTAACATTGTCAGTGACAAGTTTAAGTGGCTCTCGATTCGCTGGTTCATTGAAAAACTCAAACAGTTCATTCTTCGCAGCCTCAAACTGCGCGCTATTGTTCGTCAGTTGAACTCCAAAGCTGTTGAAGCTTGTTACTGAGACCAGCGATACTGGAAGTTCATTTCCGATCTGCAGATTCTTTGGCGTGAAATCCGATATCTTCGTTCTGGCACTAGACGCGATGCCCGGAGATGACATAGATGATGCCGACCTTGGTGAAGCTGGATACTCTCGGTTAGAGGCCGCAGCTGCTTGAGATGCTACAGGTGGCTCTGGCTTCGGATGGAAAACGCTGATCTGATACTTAAGTTCATTCAATGCTCCGGTCGACGAGATGACCCTTCAACAAGAAATTAATATCCACATATTGATGCCTTAACACATCGAATAGATAATTGGTAAAGTAATAATGAACTGAAGAAAACCAGCAAAAAACGACTGATTTCAGTTGTTAAAACTTACGGTTCATAGAGAATTAATCATTTTAAGGCTATTGGAATTTCGATAATCTTTTATGATTCACAATTTTTTAATAAAGCTAACCCATTTTAAGAAATGCAGTTATCATTTAAAAATTCGTATTTCTGATGCATGCTCCTTTCTCAAAATTAGAATGGATCAAGTAAAACAGTAATAAAGGGGAAGTGCAATAATAGCTTGCTTTGGTCAAACAATAAATTCTGTGGGTTTCGAGTATGTGCGTTAAATAAAACTAGCGTGTACCGCACCTCCGGTGCTTCGAATTTTCAACAACTCAAAAAAAAAACTATTCTTTGAGTGTACTCTGACAGCACCCAATTACAGGGTTCGTAATTAAAAAATTTTCAAAGTTATTTATTCACGTTTTTTAAACAAATTTTGAAGAACCATAAAATTTTGTGAAGTTTTATATAAGTTCTTCGAAAAATTTAAAATGAAGAAAACAGTTCTTCGAAAAATTTAAAATGAAGAAACGTCACATCTGGGAAACTGAAGCAATTGAGCAGTCGCATTTGGACGCAAGATTTGCAAATCCTGAGAGTACTCTTACAGTACCCAACTACAACGTTGGAAAATTCAAATTTTGAGAAACTTCACCTTAAGTTTTCTAATCCCGAAAACAACCAATATTTGAGCAGTCTTTTTTGACGGCAATATTCGAAATCGTTGAAAGTAGACAACTACAGGGTTGGGAATTTCACTTTAACGAATTATTTTGTAATTTGAGTTTTCTGAAAATTTCCAAAAAAATCACACAAACCGTCGTATCTCTGAAACAAAAATGATTTGGGCATTCTTAACTGGAGGCCAAATTTGCAATCCCTGAGATTACTCTGACAGCCCCCCCCCCGCTACAGGTTAGAAATTTCAAACTTTGAAAAAAAAATTAATTTCAAACTTTGAAAAAAAAATAAATTTGTCCTATTTGGAGGCAAAATTTGCAAATCCAGAGAGTACCCTGACAGAGCCTCACTACAGAGATAATAATTTCAAGTTTTGCGAAATTTTTTATAATTAAGTTTTCTGAAAAATTTTGAAAAAATCCTAAAAAAACTTCATATCTCGAAATCTACAAGGATTTGAGCAGCGATATTCAGAGGCAAGAGTCGCAACCCCCTGAGAGTCCCTCACATATTCCAATAACAGGATTGAGATCTTTAAAGTTTTGGAATTTTTCAACATTTAAGTTTTTTTCAAATTTCGGATCAAATCACACAACACGTCATATCTCGAAAACTACAAGGATTTGAGCAGTCATATTTGGCGGCGAAATTCGCAACTCCTGAGAGTACCCTGACAGAGCCTCACTACAGAGATGGTAATTTCAAGTTTTGAGAAATTTTTTATATCTAAGTTTTCTGAAAAATTTTGAAAAAATCCTAAAAAAACTACATCTCTCGAAATCTACAAGGATTTGAGCAGCCATAATCAGAGGCAAGATTCGCAACCCCTGAGAGTACCCTCACAATATCCAACAACAAGATTGAGATCTTCGTTTTGGAATTTCTCAAAATCTAAATTTTTGAAAACTTTTTTAAAAAAATCATAAAAACCATCATTTCTCGCAAAACTACAATTATTTGAGAAGTGAGAAGTAGAGGCAAGATTCGCAACCCCTGAGAGTACCCCGACAGCACCCAACTACAGGGTGAGAATTTCAAAAATTGAGAAACTTTTTAAAATTAAATTTTCTAGAAACTTTTGAAAAATCTCGAAAATTGCCTATCTCGTAAACTAAAAGGATTTGGCTATTCATATATGGAGGCCAGAATCGCAAAACCTGGCAAAACTCAGACAATATTCTACTATTGGGTTGCTAATTTCAAACTTGATGAAATAAACACTGAATTTAAACTGGAAAATCGAAAAAAAGAGTTGAACATTGCAACATACGATATAGCTTAAACGTGAAAAAATTCTTTTGTTAAACATGCAAAAATAATACGTTGAAAAAGTTTAAACATGGCGAGATAGTGAAGCCCGCAATTAAATATATAATAGACTATATGCTTGTTAAGTCTAAAATATTCACTTTATCAGACAGAAAATAGGATTTTTCAGACCATATAACACTAAGCGTATTCTTACCAGACTACAGATAATTTATGCTGCACAGATAATTGCCACTTCCCAGTCAATTTTGAAGACAACGGCTGAATAGTTATCCACAGTTGTTCACCAAAAATATCAAGAGAATCCGGGGCAAGAATAAAGTTCCAAATGGACAGGTTTACACACAAAAACAAATAAAGCCAGTGACCTTGAAACTAATAAGTAACTTGACTAGAAGAATGAATCATTGAGGATTGAAAAGAGAGGGGGAATGCGCTAACAGCAAAGGAACAAAGGAGCACCAGAATTGGGAATGCAAAAAACGTAATAAACTGCACAAGACTAGATGGCCCGGCTGACAATCATAGTGGCGTTTCCTCTCATGAGGCACACTGAGAGGCTCTGGAGAAGGCGAACTGGGGCAACACGAGCGTCACGTGAACCAGAACGTCTGGCATCAGCGAGGATAGCAACTGACTTGAGGGTTTTGATAGCTAAAGCGGACCAACCCCCGAGCGTTTCGACTGCTAACGGGAAAAAACTGATTCCTTGTTCCTCACAGTTTTTCTCGTGTTTCGAAAATTTGCGGTCCTCAGCAACTTCCAGGGACGCCCCGGGGGTCTCCGCCGCACGAGAGAGAAGAGATAACTGCAGCGGGGATGTCACGGTGACGTCGAAAGCAGCTGGGCGACCAGCGCTCCAAGTAGGGATAAAAATATCGCCGGGTTTGGACCGTTCTCCAGGGATGAGGTTCCGTTGCTCCTTGATGGGGGCTAAAGAGGCAGCCGAGGTAGCATTGAAAATAATGTCCCGTAGTCTGTCGTGACGGGAGATCCGGCCACCACTCCCCCCACAAGCGACAGCGTGGTCCCCGAGGACGTCCAGAATGCCAGACGGACACGCGGGGCACCTACGAGCAGGAGCGAACACAGGAAGACCAAGGCGGTATCTGACAGCAGCTTGGAACTCAGCAGGTAGCAGGTGCAGGCCAAGACCTTTAATGGGGACTGCGGTAAGCCAAGCGCCGGCGTAAGGCAGAGAGAGCGACTGAAGACGAGCTTGCTCGCGGGAATCGGGAAGAGACGAGAAGAACGCGTTGTAGGTGGCCTTATCGAGTTTCTCTTGGAAAGCTTCTAATAAGCAATACTGACAAATTTCATTATAAGTCATGATTTAAATAGGGGCCGGATCTGGGATTTTTTTCGAGAATCTTTAAAAACTTCGTCAACTCATTTGTAGGCAAAATCCGTGAAGCCAAAAATCACAAATGCTTTGCTAAATACCACAATGGACACGAAACAGAGACCTATGTTGGCAAAAGCAGAAGCGTTACTTTCCCACAGCTGAGTAAGCTCTTATAAACGTTACATGTACGTACAGGAATCATTCAACCCAAATCCGGAAAACTTCCAAAATATATACAAGATCCAAAAATAAATCTGTATTACTATCAGTGATAGCATTAGTACCCCAACAACCGAACTAATTTTCTTTTAGATTTTTAAATAGCTTTTGAATGAGGCTGGACAAATGTTGCCTCAAACTCCATCACTCCACGTATTACAGATCGCATCAATGAAACTACATACGCTTTAATCTAGATACGTTACTGGAAAATCGTCTCAATAATCTCATAAATATTTCACAGGTTTTCAAAAATTATTGCTACAAGTTGTTCCGTGCAGTAGAAAAGAGGGCATTAATGAATCAAATAGTCAATTGACCAAATCACAACACTCGCAAAAATATCGCAAAAATTGGGGATATCTTCATTTCATGAACAATATAGTTTTTGGTTCAGGTGGTTGAGCAAGTTCCAACAAAAAAAATGTTTACACAGGAAATCGAGCCTTTTTTTGAAAGTATGGGTACATCAGAGGCTTAATAAAGAATTCATTGAGCGTCAGTAAAATACGCACTTGAAGTAGAAATCTTTGTTTAGAGGAAACTGTTTGTCAAATGTCTCAATTTGGTCTCGTGTCCACTGGCGCTTCAGGTCGAATGTCGCTTCAAAGCAGAGCTGTGGAAGCTCGATGATCTCTTTGAATGGCGGGAACACTTGATTCAAAGGCACGTCGTCATAGTTTCCATAATCACAGAAAAACGCCTACATTGAAGAAACGGATATTTCAGTTCAATGAAATTATGTTAGAATTATAATCAAATTCGCTTATAATTTGAAATTTGTTTTTGATATGGAAAAGATATCGGTAATTAGACACATGATTAATGAACTTACTTGAATATGAAGGTTCTTCTGAGATGCTCCCATCATTGTTGCCCTGTAAGGACTGCCGTCGTCCTTGAAGATGCAAATCAATGCTTCCCCTAATTGAGGAAAGGATTGAACAGGACTGAGTCTATCCTTCACAATTCGCAGCATATTCATCAGACTATCAAGCTTCGGTATTTCATCAGTTAGCTGGACGTAGAACTCACCTAAACGACTGATCTAATTACTTAAGCTTTCAAAGACAACTTTAATAACGCCCATAAAGTGAAAGATAGACATACCCGGTCCAGCCGAGTGTGAAATTCTTCCGACTTGCGCTTCATTAAACGGCAATAAAATCGGTTTATATTTCAACATCTTTAACTCAAATTACATTCAAATAGTCATAACTCGTATCTCCGTACCCATATCCATCTGAAATAATCTTTTATTAACTCCAGGAGCAAATATGACTGAACTGCAAATGATGCAGTTATTGCTCCGGCCACTTCGCGAAATATTAAAGAAACAAATTTGTGCCAGTCGGTCATATCTGGAAGTTTGACCTCGAGGAACACGAAAATGCGTGGTTTTCGAATGAAGTTTTATTTTTTCAAAAATTCGAATGGAGCATGTCATGCTGTTTTCTCGCGACAACTGAAAACATAAAATAAAAGATCAGAACGACCGAATTGACAATTGCGGGAAATTGACAGAAAAACAGCGGGAAATTGCTATTCGCAATTTCAAAGATAATAATAAAAACCACGAGAGTAGAGCTGTCCTATCTTGATATAGGAGACAGTGATTACAAAAGAAGATCGGAATCTAGCTGAACCAGAGTGAGCCTTCGGTGGAAAGGTGGACAACCGAAGTGTCCCAATGGTCCAGAACCAAAACTCCATTCTTGAGATAAAACTTGTTCGATTAGAACTTATTGAATTAAACTTAATTCCCCGATCATTCTCAAGTTGCTTACTAATTTAGTTACCTCTAGTTCTCGAGTGTGCTGCTATGTAAGTACCTAATTTAATTTTCCCGAGTGTGTTTTATGATTGTTATGTTGAGGTAAGGCGAGTTTTAGGTTGATCCATCTGAAATGGATCAAAGTTTCACTGTCTAATAAAAAGTAACTTAACGGATTGTTCCGACCCTGTTTGTGCCATTCTGCCAGATGACACAGCACAACCTTCCGGCGACATAAAAAAGAGTGACTAAAGGCCTTATGAACAAAAAAGTGTTGCGACGGAGGGTCAGAATGTTCTAGAATTTTTATTTTTAAAATTTCGATTGGAAGAAGAACATTTCTGAGAAATAGAGAAAAGACGGCCATTTTGAAAAAAAAGACGAAAAAAAGAACCACGATAGAGATTGTGAAGAACAGTCGTGCAAGAAAATTACGGAGCCTCTTATCGTGGCAATAACACACGATAAGGACCTTAGTGACAGATATTTGTGGAGACGGAGGCTTCAGTGGGGGGAAGAGAAATACCACGGAACCCTCCCGGGACACGAAATATAGGAGATAAGAGTGTTATCTCAAGAAAATCACGTGAGCGGAGGCTTGGTCCCCCAGAGACTGTTATATGTGAAGGGACTGGGTAAACTAACTTCAACAGTTGCTGTAATGTCCTAGATCTTAATTAACATCGATATTATTTCAATATTTCAGAGCATGAGTAGCTAGAAAAAGGGAAAGGGTCAATCCATCTCCAATGGATTTAATGTAAAACTGTCACACAAAAACATATAAAAATAGGTTGTTCGAGCCGTGTTTTTAATGACAATCACGTAGTCTGAGGATCCGAGACTCAGCTATGTGGTTGTGTTCGCATGTAAACGAAAGCTGATCAAAAGTCGTTTGACTGATGGCCTAAAAATGGTAACTTTTTACTTTGCCCTAGACAGACCAGAAAATCAACTGGCAAGGTCGAGACGGTGAAAAACGAGTAGAATTAAGGTAACTGACGCCTGCCAGTCGTTGATAGGTACTTTTTCTACGCTCCGTCGCTGTGTGATATTTGGGCGAATGTTACATAGACGTTTTTATGGCGCTCCTGGGTGGGCCTGTTAAAGGCATGAAACCATCATGATCAGCAAGCGTTTCAGCGACGTACCCTCCGCTCCGGGCGCATGCCCGAGTTAGAGGCCTTAATGACCGTTGTTGTACTAGGGGGAAGGTGCGTACCCTCCGTCTAGTACAATTTAGCTTTTTAACTTAGTTAACACCGAAAATTCCGGGGGCCGCAGGGTTAGGTGGGAAATCTAGAGCCCGCTTGTCCTGAGGTCCCAGGACCAAAAACAATTAAAGAGAAAGCGTAAAACCAATTAAAAATAGTGTATAACCAAGAAAAAGCCAAAAATAAATTTATTTGAAAACAAAAAAGTACAAAAAACAGTAAAAAATCCAAAAAAGACCAAAAACAGTAAAAAACATAAAGTGACAGTTTATTTGTTATTTCCGGACGAGATGTGATCTGACCTTCCTATTTGTTGTTGTTTCAGATCGATTTATATCGTTTCTGATAGAAAGATTGTGTGTTTTGGTGAAGGGTTGGATACCCTCCCTCGAGTGTAATTTGTGTGTTTAAGCACGTTAATGGTGATTTTGCCGGTGACCGGAGGGTAGAGTGGCAAGCTGATCAACGTGTTCCACACTCAACAGGGACATCAAGGACAACATCCGCAACGACTGTTGGGTATCGTTGAAGCAATTTTAGTATCGTTCGGGTACTATTTCATTAAAACTTAAGTGGTGGGGGGCACGATTGGCGCGGTCCGATTGTACCCTCCATCGATTACAAATTTCCGAGTTAAGGGTCTTAATTCGGATATTTTGGTGCAAAGGAGGGTATAGTACTATTCATTAACGACTATTAATAGATTATTATCCTTATTATATATTACTTATCTCCTATTTAGACCCATGAAACACCCATTTTTTGTCGAAAATTACCAATTTTCGACCAAACCGTAGACCCCCAAACTTTCGGATATCCGAGCTTTTCCGATAGGCAAAAAGCTCTTATATAAGGAGTAGCTACGTAGTTCGATCCCCCTAACTAAAGAAACCGCGTGAGAGAAGACTCAGTAGAAGTTGAAAAAAACCAAAATTTTTCGGTCAAAATTTCGATAATTTTTTGAATTTTGACAATCTGTTTTGGGGATCGAGTTTTTGAGTTTTTAGAGTTAGAGCAATAAAATTTTTTGCGTTAGGAGCGTGCTAGCATAACGTGCTCGGTTACTAGAGAAATTTTTGGGTAACCCTCCGAGTAGCTCCGTGGATAGAGCTAACGACTTAAGGTTTGGAAAAGGAAGGAATCGGAAGGTCCAAATTTGATAGTTTTTGGCCAAATTTTTGTTTCTAAACCAATTTTGGTCCGGTTTTTTGCAATATTCCAGTGCCGTACAGGGCTACTACGCTCATTTCAAGTATTTTTAGGCACTTTCGACCGGAATTGCGAAAAAAGTCTTTCAGATCCTATACAGGTGGTGAAAAAGGCCATTTTGACGAACGCGTTTTTGGCGATTTCTCAAAGACTAGTTATCCGATCGGGATAATTTTGGTACCATAAGTCGACGTTTTTGACCACGTTTTTGGGTTGATTATTTCGGAAAAGAAAAAGTTTTTAGAATTTGTTGGTTCGGAGGGTCCAAATCACGGGCAACCCTCCGAGCGACAGAAAATTTTATCAAAACATCCTTTTATTCAATTGGGAAGGTTGACCGTGTCAGCCAACCTAGTTTTAAGTCAGGTAGAACGCTTTCAGAGGCTTTACTGCGGTGATATAACCCTTTTTCTTGATTTTGGGGGAACCCTCCGAAGTGACCCTCCGGAGTCAGCTAAAGCCTTTAGCAACCCTCCTTACTGGAAAATTTCGACGAGATCACCCTAAGAAGTTAAAACAGCTCCCCTTAGAGCTCCTAGCTTGTTTTGACGCTTTTTGAAGCGAGGGGGAGAACCTTCTAAGCGAGATCGAAAAATTTGAAAATTTTGGAGGTACCCTCCGAAGTAACCCTCCGGAGCATATTAAGCATCTTATTGACCCTCCTTAGTAAAGAAAAGGGGACCCTCCGAAGTAACTTGGGTGATTAAGGTACCCTCCGAAGTAACTTGGGTGATCAAGGTACCCTTCGAGGTAACTTGGGTGATCAAGGTACCCTCCGAGGTAACCCTCCGGAGTGTCTTAAACCTTCTAACGATCTTCCTTGTTAGAGACTTGAGTAAACCTTCTGTGACGATTTGGGAAACGGAAAATATCCATTTAATTAGGATCATATTAGGATGTTAGGCGTGTTTATCAGGAACATAAGAACCAATTCTGACCCGGAAATTCGTGATCAACTTTGGATTCTAAATTGGGTGTATCAGAAGTACCCGAACAAAGAAATTTTTTTTTTTTGATTGTGATTTTGGTTGTGTGGTTGCCTTGAGCTACTTAATAGGAAAGTTCGGGCAATCCGGGAACAAATAAAGGAAGACCTAGGTGGGTGTATTAGGCAGATACCCACCCACTTGAGAATAAAAATTGTTCCCCACTCTCGTGCACTTGGAGCAGTCCGAGTGTGGGAGAGCTTTTTCATAGATTTGACGAATTTTCGATCAGAGGTTGCCTTGAGCTACTTAGTAGGACAGCTCGGGCAATCGCAGGACACCCAAAAGAAGACCTCGGTGGGTGTATTAGGCAGATACACACCCACTTGAGAAGACTGTGTCCTGGGCTTCGTTCTTTCGGATCGTTCCGATTGGGGGAAGTCTTTTTCTTTAAGACTAAGTTTTATTTATCTATTTCTGAATCATCACTGCTTTTTATCAAAGATTGTTTAATTTTAACAAAGCAGTGACTTGATAAATTGTGTGGCGATAAATTGATACTAACAAAAGGTCGCTGTCACCTGTAGGATATTCTTATCTGATTATCGATTGTGTTTTGTGTGTCGATTATATCTTGTGGAATCTTAGTGATACTGTTATACTATACAACCGGGTTGAGTTAGCATTATATCAATACTGGGTAGACCCTGTGTGTAACTTTAGCTGAGTCACTAGTTTAGTCGTGAGGGATCTAAGAGACATTTTGATACTGACGGAATCGAGTAGGCAGCGTTGAGTGATTTAACTAAATCTTGTTTGTGGTACGTTTGCATTGCCATCAAACTACGAATACTTGCATTTTGTTAAAAACTATGCAGCGCAGGGACTCGCTAGGATCGACTACTAAAATTCCCAGGCTAAGCAAGGGAAGCACGCGGAAGTTTAGAACTAGGCGTAGCCAAACCTCGTTTAGCAGTGCTTCCGACGCGTTTACTGAAGACGAATCGACTAAAGGTCAACCTGATCTTTCAGTGAGCGAAATGAAACTAAGGAGCGAGAAAAACCTCGATGGCAATCAAAGTCGGAGCGCCGAGGCCGAGCCTGCGAGCGAAACGC